TGTTTTCACCAACAGAAGTTGGTGGTACTGTGTGTGTTTGTATATATATACATATAATATATATATATATATATGTATGTATGTATATATAGGGATGGATGCATGCATATATTAATACAATGGATTTAATGGTCGTCGGAAGAGTCGTCGTCTCCATTTGGTTGGGTTGAAGCTTGAAAGGGTCTTGTGGGTTGACGCGCTCAACACTCAGCAGTCGGTTGATGTCTCAAGAAATGCAGCACATGTACTTTTTGACTTTAAATTACGGGAAAAAACGAACTTTTCCGTTTTGAGTTATTCAAATTTTTTTTTATAACACTTTGTTTGGAATTGCTTATAAAAACAACTTATTGACTTATTCCGGTGTAGTATCGGTAATAAGTACTTTTGAATGTTTATATAAACAATTTATACCGGTACCAAACCGGTAATAAGGAGTTTTTGAAAAAGTTAAACTCTTCTGACTTATAATAAGTTGATAAATGCTTTTGTAGAAACACATAAGTTATTTCAAATAAGCAATCACAAACATCCTCTAAGTTTATGGTTCTATTTTAAGTCATAGAATGACAAAGAGAAGTAAAATACTGATAAATATTCACCTTTCAGGAATATTGAAGACATGCAAAGATACAATGGGAGCAAAAGGTGCAAATCACGTAATGAACAAACAAAGCGATGATTGTGAATGATTGGACGTCATATGATTGGTTTTCGATCTATCACAACTTTTATCATTTATCACAATAAAACCACATCATAAGAATTTTTCGATTTATTAAAGCATATCACATAATTATCAACAACCGAGACATTGGCATAAGAAGTCTTCAATGACAAATACTAATTTATTCTAATTTTTATCATGTGTTAATTAATTTGGAGGTCTAGAAGTGTTCTCGCATTTTCGTAAAATAGGGTATTCTCGTTTGAACCCATATCTATACTATCTGATAAAACATTTGGCTAAAAATCTTAAAAACTCTTAAAACTCTTAAACCCGTTTATCCATATCCGATTTCATCCCATATCTGAATTCGTGTAACTAACTGCAGATAAACGCAATCAAATACAGGATAAACATCTCATTTTAAATAAAAAAAATCTAAAATATAATTAGGATAATCATTGAGTTCTAACAGAATAATTAATTATTATCTTTATAAAATATTATATTATTAAACCAAAAATAAATTATTTCATTATTAAACTTAAATTAAATTA